ACGATAGGCGAGTCGAACATGATCGTCGAGTCGAACACGATCGTCGAGTCGAACATGATCGTCGAGTCGAACATGATCGTCGAGTCGAACACGATAGGCGAGTGCCGTGTCGTCGAGTCGAACACGATCCTTCCCTATCCTCTAGTGGAACAAGATTGTGCGAGGTGCAATGTCATCGAATCGTTCATGATTGTGTGCAGTGCTATGGACCGTGTGCGTCGTGTCCTGGAAGATCGTGCATGGGTTGCGTGCGTGGAATTATGGGCATGGATTGCGCACATAGATTTTGTGCACTGTGCTGTCGTCCGACCTGGTTTGTTTCCATTGTTGGGGGGAGCGGGGTGAATAGTTCTATTGTTGTTGTTGACCGTTGCCCTTGTGCCGTGCAGGGCGTCTTCTCTTCACTGTTGCTATGGAGATCTCTAATATGACCCCTGCACTTTGGCGTGCACCCAAGGCACACCCTTTCCCACCTTGCGCGCTGTACGTCCGACAATGTCAGGGCAGCGTAACCTATGAAGGCGCTTGTCCAGAAGACTTCGAATGCGACCCTTGGATGAGAATCCTCCCGTTTGGCGACAAACATTTGGACTCGTGGGAGGAGTGCGAGTGGGTGAACATGACGGAGAGATGCCCGTGGGCGTGCGATTATGAATTCGTGAATATGTCCGAATTTGGCAAACGCATTCCCGTGCCGTTCGATGTGTTGCGTCCGGTGCGCTTGCCGCTACTGTGTAAAAAACTAAAAATAAGCCGTGTTGTGGGGGGTTTGGACTGCGAATACGTGACAACCTCGCCTCGCACCTGGTGCCGTGTTATGAAACAGGAGTTACTCGATTGTGCGCGACATTCTCAGTTCCTCGATCATTATCCGTTGTGATCTCCCAGTCTGTCGCCAGGAGCAGTTTTGTATTGTTGTGTGAGATTGCGTCTGGCATACTTTATCTTCTGTAGGGTCCTCTGTATTGCCGTTTCGAGCAGGGCAAGAAACTTGACCGATGCTGTCGTGTATGTGTCCAGGAACGAGTTGTCTATGTCCGGGAGGGATATGTGTTTAGTTCAAAGAAGGGTAGATGGGAGACTGGATATCGTGGTGGGTGGCCAGGTGGAGGACGTTGGCGCATGGCGCGAGGTCGAGGCTAAAGTCGTTTCAATTCGGGATGCTATAGGCRCTTCTCTCGTCGGGAACTCCGGGTTCATGCGAATGACATACATTTCGGTGTTTGCTGAGACGACGCAGCAGCTGACCTTCGGATCGCCAATCAGCGTGTTGAATGGACGCAACGGCGAGATTGTTCGACGTAGTTAGTAGATAGCCTTCGTCATACTGAATGGCCAAAACGGCATACTGAATGGCCGCAACGGCGAGATTGTTCCCCGTAGTCGATAGATAGCCTCGTGGAATTCACATTGCGATTGTTGTTCTCAATGTGTTATTTCGATAACAATACGCGGTATCTGCTAGTTGTTCTCATCATGTGTTCAGTGACCAAAAGAACACACGTTTGACGTTGTTGTCCTCATATTGTTTTTCGATTCATTGAAACCCGGGAATGATGACACGTGTTTTCGGTTTGACTTTGGACACCGACACATCGCTGCCAGCCGAGTGTTTGATTGTTGTTCTCATGTTGTGTTTCCTTTCGGAAAAAAAAACTCGTTGTTCTGATGTTTTGCGTGCACAAACATTCAGCAGTCAATGTTTCTCCGTGTTAACCAGTGTCTGCGATCTGTTGTCTTGTGTTCTCGTGATCAAGTGCCCTTTTAGGCACCGTCCGCCGACCATTGTGTCGAACACGACAAATGTCGCACATCACACCCCAGTGTCGCTGTCGTGTTCGACACGATGGTCGCCAGACGGTGCCCGAAGGGGCACTTGGCCGACTGTCGAACGGCAGACGACAGTGTCGCTGTCGTGTCGATGTCGCTGTCGTGTCGAACACGACGGTCAGCTCCCCTTCGCTTCGGGCACCGTTTGGCGACCATCGTGTCGAACACGACATGGACACTGTTATCTGGCAACCAGGCGGTGCATGAAGGGCCGCTTGGTCGACTGCCGCACGCACGGCAGACAACAGTGTGGCTGTCGTGTCCAACACGACGGTTGGTTAGCCCGCACAGTGTCGAGCTCGACGTTGAGCAGGCCGCTTGGTCGACTGTCGCACGACAGACAACAGTGTAGCTGTCGTGTCCAACACGACGGTTGGTCAGCCTGCGCAGTGTCGAGCTTGACGTCGAGCGGGACGGCGAGTTGGTCGGCCGTCGGGTTCGACACGACAGTGACACGACGACACCGCAACGTCGCTCTCGTGTCGAATTCGACGGTACTGGAGGACGTCGTGGCACGGCCGTCGAGTTCGACACGACAGTGAAACGACGACAAGCTGGCGGGCTGCGGCCCGCTTCCGTTGCTCTGTGTTCCTGTCTATTCTTGTTCTCAAGTGCTGTAGTGTTTGTACGTTGGCGGGCTGTACGTTGCAATGACTGCTTTCTCGCTTGTGCGTTTTCTTCAGTTGCGGGTGTACGTTGCCGACAGTGAAACGACGACAAGCTGGCGGGCTGTACGTTGCAATGACTGCTTTCTCGCTTGTGCGTTTTCTTCAGTTGCGACTAGCTGCTCGACATGGATCGCGAGGGGAAGCCAAGCAAATGACGTACTAGTACTGGTTCCGGAAGCATGGAGCAGTCTCCGAAAAAAACGAAGGGGACACCGACCGCTGGCGTGGGGGCTGGCGACACACCGGGGTCTAAGGGCCACCGAACCCCAGTGCTGCGGGGTGCACCTTCTACGGGCACCCCTTCCGCCCATGTTCGAGGTTCGGGACCGGATTCGGTTGTGTTGATGAGTGGTGGGGCTGCAGGTCGAGAAGAGGAGGCTACTGGTCGGCAGGGGAAATCTACGATGGACGTTGTGCCCAGGCATAGAAGGTCTGGTGACACGTCCGTTGCAGGTGTGGGAGACGAGGTGCCTGTCGTCGACCACAAAGACAAGTGCTGGATGTTGGACTGGGTGGGTGGAATTGGGGAACGCTCGGGTGGGCTGGTTTTGTACGTGGTGATCAAATATAACAATGTTCCGATTGGCGGTGTGGTTAAGTGGAGTGGAGAAAAATCACCGTCGGCCATGTTGGAGTTGACGATGGTCCTTAACGCTAGAGGTGAGCGGATAGCGGACGTCAAACGCGTTGCTCTTCGTTGGGCCGAACACGCTGGGTACGGCAAGAGGCTTTATGACATTTTCCATCCGTCCGGGACAGAGAAATTGACGTTGCCGGACCTTCGACCGGTTTTCGCATTCTTCGACAGACATGTGGTCGCAGGGCATGAGCCGGTGGTGCATGCTTCCGACCGCATATCTGAACCGAAAAGCGTGCTTTCGTCGTCTTTGGAGGCGGCTCCGTCATTGAAACCAATCATTATAGGTGCCCGCCCTCCGCCATCATTTCGGACTACGGTTGCTGCAACACGAGTTCCGAAATCTGGGCAGATCGGGGAGAAAGGTCCGTGCCGCGGCCAAATCGTGTCGTCAGCCCCTGTGAAGCGTAGACCAACATCAACCAAGGAACCCGTTTCCTTGGTCCGCCTGCCGCGCTATGAGTTGGCCATTCCTGCTGGGCCGCAATATTTTGGAGATGAGGACGAGGAGAACAGCGAAGAAGAATGGGAGCGCGATGAAGAACGCGAAGAATATGAGGAGGGTGGCGAAGAAGAGGAAGTAGAGAGTGAGCACACAATCAGCGAGAGGGGTGGGTCGGGCGAGTTGGAGGGTCGTCTAGGGGTTGAGTATGAGGACGAAGGGCAAGAAGAGGAAACGACCGGCGACGGAGGGTATGCAGATGTGCATCGGGGTTCCAAACGAACGCAGCCGCTCGCGCCGGGTCATGGGCATTGGGAAGCGGATCCAGGGCGCGGGGAAATGCACAGCGAAGTTGGGGTCGAGCCGGCGCATGCCAATGCAGTCCGACTAGCTGAGAAGAAAAGGAAGATGAGGCAAGAGAGGAGAAGTGCTATGGACAGTAAGAAAACCAAGCAGGAGGGGGGAGCCAAGCAAGAGGAGGGCAAACACAAGTTGAAAATGCGAGCAGTTGAGGAGGTC